TAAACAGACAAATTGCTGTATAAGTAGTCTTTCAGTGCACTGTAGGGGAGGAAAGGGCAAAAAAATGTAGTTTTTCCCAGAGAGGAACAGTTATGGAATAACTTACCAATAGGGGAAATATATTCCTAAATTCCATCAGTAAGCGAATGGCTTTTGTCCTGATGATAAGGGTTTTATAATTATTTTTTCTTATATAGTGTAACTGTGACAAATTGCTGTATAAGTAGTCTTTCAGTGCACTGTAGGGGAGGAAAGGGCAAAAAAATGTAGTTTTTCCCAGAGAGGAACAGTTATGGAATAACTTACCAATAGGGGAAATATATTCCTAAATTCCATCAGTAAGCGAATGGCTTTTGTCCTGATGATAAGGGTTTTATAATTATTTTTTCTTATATAGTGTAACTGTGACTCTACAATGCAATAAAATATATATAAATGTGTATATATATAACTTGCGGCAATGAAGCCTTGAGTTAATTATACATGCTGGGTAGAAGAACCTTTTAATAAATATTCAATTAAAGCATACAGTTTTAAGTTTTCTGTTAAGTTTGCAGAATTGCAAGAGTTTCAAGATAAATTAGTTTAATATTTAAATATCTGGAAAATCAGTAAATAGCCAACCTCTGGAAGGAAGCTTTCCAACTGGAATGACCATGAACACGTAATATCTACTTTATAATAAGAAATAAAACTTTGGTTGCTATAACATGGTTCTCCTTCTGTTAGAACTTAATAGTTGCAGAGGAAACCTTTTAGTCTTTATAAAGACTAAACTATAAGTTTCTGAAGTTCCAGTGCTCAGATAAAAAGAAAATATTAGAAAGTTTGTGCTTATGTACCGAAATGTATCATTTGTCTTGCAAAATTTATTACTGGTAATGATGTTCAGCAGCAATGGGCATCCAAGGCTAGTGAGAGGGCCACAATGAGTGTCCCTCTTTCATCTCAGTGGGCCTCTAGATAGTCATAACTGAGACAATCTTCTGGGATAGGGTAGTTTTGCTAACTCTGCTTACATATCTAGAATTGCAAGGTGTGCCAATTGAACCATAGCAGCGCTTTGGATGCAATGAAGCGCAGGGCTGTCACAGTCAATATTGTGTGCAATCAGCTTGCACTTCACTTCATGTGCACTTGGTTTACATGTGCAGGGCTCGACAAATACACTCGCCCGCTCGCCTGTGGCGAGTAGATTTTACCAGCTGGCGAGTGCAGGGGTGGACTGGCCCAGTGGGCTGTTGTGACGGACTGACTGAAGTCCGCACTATGGGCAGCGCGGCCCCATCTGATCCGCTGGCCGGTGGAGGAGCAGAACGCCGCTGGGAAGGGGGAAGTGCAGCGATTTTCAGCACTGGGCTGCCTGTGGGCATGAGGAGGCGGGGCGTGAGCCAGAGGGCGGGACCCCGGCAGACGCCAGGACGCTGGCATGACATGGCGTCCTGACGTCACGGCCGGCGACCGCCAGATTAAAAAAGGCTCCAGCAACCCCGCAAAGTGGAGGGGAGGGGAGGAGAGGAGAGGAGAGGAGAGGAGAGGAGAGGGAAGGGGCTTGTGCTGTGCGGAGGGAAGGGAAGAAAAAGGAAGGGGAAAAATATGGGGAAGGGGCTGAGGAGAGGGAAGGGGAGGGCAGTAAGTCAAGAGGAGAAGAAGAAGAAAGGGGAAGGCGCCAAGGGACAGGGGGTGAAGGAGAGACAAATGCCAGGGGACCAAGTGCAGACAATAAGGAAAAGGGTAGGAGCGGAGCTGTCAGTGGGAGGGGGACAGGGTGATGCTGGGAGAGGAGAGGGTAAGGGCATTGGGGGCTAGAGGGGGGAGGTGCTGGGAGAAGGCTTGAAAGAAGGGGTGGGCATGAGGAAGGCGGGGATGGGGCCAGGCATGTGCGAGGGCACAGGGCCATGAGGGTGGTGAGGGGGTAGGTATCAGGGAAAAAGAGGGCAAAGGGGGCAGGGGCAGTGAGGGAAGGAGGAGGCACCAGGAGGGTGCAGGTGCTAGGGGATTCTGGGGGTGAAGCAGAAGGGCAGACACCTGCAGGGGAGGGACCAGCACCAGAGGAGAGAGGCAGGGCAGGTGTGTAGAGGGAGGTGTTAGGAGAGGGGATGAGGAGAAGTAGCTCACATGATCAGAGTGGGGCTACTGGAGGAGTGGGCACAGGGGGGAGAGAAGGGCTGGTGGAGGGGGCTGGTTTCAGGAAGGCTGAGGGCAGTGAGAAGGGCAGGAGTCAGGACAGCAGAGGAGGGTGAGGGGTTTGGGAGCAGCAGGCACCAGGGGAGCTGATGGAGCAAAGGGAGGAGACATGGCAGCAGAGGGAAAAGGTAGAGGTTTATAAGATATTTATTAATAACTTGGGTGATATTTAACTTATTAGTAATTACTGTTCTTATTCTTATTAGGAATTTATGCCATTAAAAAAAACACTTGGGGGGGTGTGGCGAGTCCCTTTTTTGTCTGGTGAGTAGGGTTTTCCATAATTTGTCGAGCCCCGTACATGCGTGTCATTTTAGTAATAATGGTAGGAAAATAAACTATGTGGATGGAAACCAGTGGAATCTAGCAACCCATCGTTTGGGCAACAGTAAACAAAATGTCTTGTGGGCCACCCATAGAACTCCAGTGAGCCACAGGTTGCCCACCACTGATGTACAAGATGGAAAAAGCTTAGCCAGACATTTAGATCCCAGAATAAGTTTGCAGAAGTTGTACTTGGAAAAACCATCGTTTTATTTCTCATTCAAATACCTCTTATTTCTGTTGGGAAACCAAGATGTCAACTAATATTATACATTAAAAAAACATACTTCGCCATGCTACATGTGACTTTACTAAGTAACCAGATAATCTTTTTCTGTATCTTGTTTTTTCTCATCCAAGTCTACTTTTTTGTTTAGTTTGCCCCATTTCTTCCACCACTGACTGAAATCAGATTGTAAGTTCTTTTGAGTAAAAAGTTGGTGTGTATTGTGACGCACCTAACATGCCCCAGGGGCCACAATGATACAGCACATGCCAAGGGCGCAACTTAAATGTGGTTGCATATACATGCAAAAATATATCCAAATAGCTTCTTTCACACTGATGGGCATGAATACAAAGATTAAGGCAAGACTACACAACACACAGTCCCCATTTAAGTTAGTTCTGATTATATTAATTAAATGTAATATTTACCCAATTTCCACCCATATGACAGCACTTTTAATGAGCAATGACAGTCTAGGAATTTAACTACTAAAATGCATATTAACAGAAGACCATTATATTGACTTCCCATTGTGGAGCGTGTTCCCAATGGAGGCCATGTTCAAAGGATTCCACCCACGGGCTATGTGTTGAGCCCCATATAAACCCAAACCGCACCGTGGGCTGCAAACAAACGGGCCAAGGGCCATGTGTTGAGTAGCCCTGTTGTAGAATAATAAATATTTGTAAGATGAGCAAATTTGATATGGAATCAATAAAACACAAACTTATCTTTTAAATTCTGTTGTAATAAACTAAAGGTAAAAGACTTCATAAGAGTATTGTAGTTAGCAAGAGGCAATCATTAAGCCAGGGAATTCAGAGGTAATGCTAATTTTAAAAGAAACCCAAACTTCTGAAAGTATGGGAAGTCACAGTTTAAGGTATTTATACTAAATTAGCATCTGCTCCAGCAGAGCTCTCGTGATTTACAAAGATGCTGAGGAGTGGATGCAAGTGGGATTGGCAAGTCAGAAGCCTTTGGAGAGTAGTTCAGCAATTGCTCTCTGCCAGAAATGTGAAGGGTGAGTAGCTTCTTCTCCCTGGCTCCCATCTAGCTCACAGTATTTCTTTGATGCTGTCATCAAACCGCAATTGGCTGTGTAGCTCTCAGATAATTGTGGCTGTATTATTTAAAACACCAACTTTTAGTCTGAAATTCATATAACCTAAAATTAGACCCTCTGTTCAAATTGTGACTAAATGAATTCAGCAAATTAACATTTTACACTTATTTTCCTTATGTTAGAAGTGATGCTGCAATCTGGCTTAAAATTAAAGAACCCCAAACTACAAACTTCAGTAGTGCTGACCTGCTCTATAATCCAAACTGACTACCACCTCTGAATAATACAATCTGTTAAAAAAAAAAAAGGCTTATTATTTAACTTTATAGAAACCAAAGCCAATAGTTCATGTTGGTTATGGAGAAGGGATAATGTAAGTATGCTGAAATAATGTTAACTTAATCTAAGTAAGGGTACGTCTAGACTACATGCCTCTGTCACCAGAGGCATGTAGGTTAGGCTACCAGACATAGTAAAATGAAGCGGCGATTTAAATATTCGCCGCTTCATTTAAATTTACATGGCTGCTATCGTGCTGAGCCGACAAACAGATGATCAGCTGTTTGTCGGCTCAGCGCGGCAGCCATGTAAATTTAAATGAAGCGGCGAATATTTAAATCGCCGCTTCATTTTACTATGTCTGGTAGCCTAATCTACATGCCTCTGCCGACAGAGGCATGTAGTCTAGACGTACCCTTAGATTCAGTATACAGAATTTTTTTAAAAGCTTTAGAAGGTTCTCAGTTGCTTTCATTGATTTCCATATTAAATATGCTCATTAATTTTTTCTGCCAACCCTCCAAACTCAATATGGGATCTGAAGTGCAGCAGTATTTTTTCTTACTTGTTTATGAACACCAAAAATGAAAGAATCGGGGCCTCAAACTAAATCCCTGCAACTTCATTGTCTTTATAGTTAACTCCCATATTCAGTGCAGTTCAGTGGTTCAGTGCAATTACACTCTCTTTAATTGCATTCT